CTGTACCAACACGTTGTATTTTTGAACGCCTCGACACCATGTCTCCTTGGCTTTCTTTAGAAGAGCCTTCTTCTACATGTTGGGTCCCACGTGGTTGTGGGATGACCAGTGAGAGTCACTGTCCCTGATTCTTACACAAGTTCACCTCATGTTTACGAGACCTAATTTCTCTGAGCTGCCTCATCCTTACAGGAAATCAGTCACACCACCGTGTATCACCAGCAAAATGAATCATTTATACAGTGTGTGTGTCAGAGTGACTGATACAGGAATATGATGACACACCGACCTTAAGGGTAAGATCATATTAAAAACTGATTAAACTATATCACTGGACTCACATGTATGCTTTGCATGAACAAAGCAATGGTCAGAACAAACACAATCACAGTTTCATGCTCGAGACACAAAGTATGCAAGCTGTCAAGGCAACATTTAAGAGACCTAAATAAAATCCACAACCAGGTGATCACACACCAGGTTCACCAGCTGACTCTGCCTCCTCTCTCACGCTATTGATTGGCATGATTTGATTGGCTGGGGCCTCGACTGTTTGCACTATAGCGGAGCGAACTACGCAAAGGAACCATAATGCAGTTGTGCAACGCACAGGCACCCCATTCAAAGTGAATGTCAATATCTGCGTGACAGGACCTGTTTGAAAAATTCAGTTTACTATTCAGGAAAAAACGTTACCAGTCGTATTTGCATTTTAATGTTGACTTCATGAGTTTCAGATTAATTGATTTAGAAGTCCTCAGGTTACGATGACTTTATATTCAGGCTGTCTGAACTTTCCAATGGAACGTATGCTAATATTGGCTGCAGCAAACCAGGTGATGACTGAGTCACTTACAATACAGGTTGATGTTTGCTTTCTTCCACACATCTCACTGAATGCAGTCAATCAACACAGTATCATCAAACCACACTCACCGGGAAACATACTCTCTTTGAGGGAGAGGAATCTCAAGGTCTGGTCAAATAAAAATTGCCAGACCTAGAAAATGAGAAAGTTGACCAAAGTTTGATCATTTAGTGATTTATGTATTAACAAGTCCAGTAAAAGAATTTTTCCTGGAAGCATGTCACGCTGGACTGGAGGAGCATGAGCTGCTGTAAATCAGGAGCAATAAGGAGGAGGAGGCTGACCAGTCAAGTCAAGTTATAACAGGTTTCAGCTTTGCCGCTGTCTTGGGGTTTGTGTTGCTGAGCCGAGAACTCCTGTAAATTACTTGATGCATTCTTCCATTTCTATTCCTTCCTCTCAATCACTCATTCGCTGTTTCACTCTCCAAACATGTCTAATAAAACTGGGCTGCAGCCCTTACACCTTTTTTCCCAGATGTTACATTTCACAGGAAGCTTCACTCTAGTGCATCGACAGTGTTTACAGCTCCACCACCCTTCCACCTCTTTGAGCCTGTGGGTGTGCTTAACCTGTCTTCATGTGCATGACCTCAAGATACAAACAAAATCAAGACCTTCTTGCCTTTGCCTCCAAAAGTCTATAACATTTCGATAGTGAGACTTGCTGCCCTGGGTTAGGCCTTTCAGGTAAACCGTCTGACAGAGGGTGAACTTGTTGGTGATTTCAACCAAAGACTACATTAAACCCCATCAGGTGGCTGGGTTGAGCCTTCATAGTCACACCTATGAGAATGTGAAGTGAAACTCACACACAAAGCCAAGCTGTGGATTCGCTGCTCCAGAGTAAGCAAAGTTTTATTCGTCCCCTCACTGGCAGCGGCTACGAGAGGTTTCTGGTATGACTACTGTATCTGATGGAATAAAAATAGGTGTATGGACTCAGCTAAATGCTAGGACTCTATGGTATGATGCTGTGTATGTACAGTCAGTAGAAATGCTTCAACCGACTCTCTAGAAGAGCAGCGCGGCTCATACGCAACAGACACAGCAGTATGGCTGCTCTAACCTGATAACATGAGCACAGAAATGAAAAGAAAGATGTTCTGTGATGCACAAGCGCCCCTCACGCCTGTAGTGCAGCCCAGGCATTAGAGATGGAGCGAGGAGTTTGGACATCCGGAAGGGAGCTTGGAGTAGAGCCACCGCTCTTTCACATTTGAAGGGGACAGTTAGGGTGTCAGAACACCTCCTGGGCGCTTTCTGATGCAGATTTACCGGCCACAACAAACCACGAGAAGACCCTAGGGTAGAACCAAAACTTATTGGAGGGACTGCACTTCCCATCTGGCCTGGGAAAACCTCGGGATCGCAAAGGTAGAGCTGCAAAGTGTGGCTGGGGAAAGGGACTTATGGGAAACCCTACTTGGCCAGCTACCTCCGCAACCCCGAGCCCAAATAAGCAAACTAACTCAACTAAACTGTACTTTAATATAAGCCCACCAACCTGTCTGGGCCAGGTCTTGTCTGTGTTCACTGGCCAAAGCTTCTATATCTTTCCAGATGTGCTGTTGAGGCTGACATGAGATGGATAGGCAAGACCAGATGTGCAGAGAGCTGCCAAGTCTGTTTTGATGTGTTGGATTGTGAAATCAGCTCAGACACAGAAACAGCACAAGAGTGTGTCCATATGCATGCATAAGCTGAATACACAAACATAACTTAACCATGTGGGGACACACACACACACACACACACACACACACACACACACACACAGAAGTTATTGTGGCCACATCTGCAACATCATCGGGGTCTTGTGGAGAATCAGGTGGGTTCACAGCTGCACAGTGACATCGAGTAAACAGGGTCCTGATATGTATCAAATGCAGTCACATGGTTTACTGCAGCAATCCTCACATCCGAACAACAAAACCCTTTTTTTTGGACTTCTAAAGCGAGTCATGAGTGTTTATTGATCTGCTAAGTCATTTGGTAGGGATGATATGCAGAACACACTCCTCCTACCTTAAAGGTCCAGTGTGTAAGATTTAGGTGAAAGGGAACTATTGTATGAATTGTAGTTTTCTTTACCTTCAGAAAAGGCCCTTTATATTTAAATACTTTATACTTAAATACTTTATATTTAAATCGAGGGGGTTGTCTCTATGTTTTTTACATTAGGTCAGACTGGACATTTTTTTATGATGGCTACCACAATTTCTTTTTCATGTTTAGAAGTGGAGGGTGAGGGGTGTTCAGCTGCAACATATAATTTCAGCACTTGATGTAACAAAATTCTACACACTGTACCTTTAATGTCAAAATAGGGCTTTGTCGTCTGCTTCCAAATTGACCCTTAAAAATTGATTCACATTTTTATGTTTTCTTATCTGCCACCTGAGCCTAGGTTAAAGACTACAGCCATTATTAAATGAATAAATAAACCAGCTTTGTTTACTGGTCGGAATGTGAACTGTTGTCTCCAGTGTCAAGACTCGCACTTTGTCTGATTTTGCAATTTGAGTCAGTGATGAAATAATCAGCTCCGGGTCAGAAACATTACAGAATTTGTATAAAGCCCGATAAGACCTGTGGCTGCCTGAGGATGTGTAACACTGTCAAAGTCATCGAGGCGTGGACGAGTGGGAGGAGGATGGAAAGGATTAGTCTTTATATACTGAAAAAAAAAGGGAAATGTTTGTTACACTAAAAAGTGATTTCACACTTTTAGATTAAGGATAATCCTGGTCGGACATAAGATTTAATGTAACTGTAGTCTGAGATTGGATAATTTAGAGAAGTTGTAGACTGTGAAGGCTGAACCGAAAAGAGATGGTCTTGTCTTTCCAATAAAGATTTCTTGTGCCGCCCTTACTGCTGTCGCAGAGTAACGGAGCGGCAGTGGGGACAGGACGGTAACGCTTTTATGCCCTTTAACCAATGGCTGTGAGTAAGCATCAACTCTGCAACGGATACGCCTGTTGTTCACAGCACTCTGAATTTTTAGAGCCACAAAAAGGGAGAAAATTGGAATCGCTGCTGTCCCTGTTTAAGTTTGAAAACTCACAGCTTGAGTCTGGATGGGCAGAAACAGGGACATTTGGAAACACTCACAACCACTTGCGGATTTTTTTTTCGGTCACGATGTTGACTTCGCTGACTCATCAGGCTCCAATCACACGACCCCCTCATGGAAAAACCACCGGCCCACCGCCATTAGCCTCGGCTAACAGTGTAGAACACAGCATGGATAATCAATTACAAGTGTTGCCGACCCTGTTGCCTTTGCTGACAGCTGTGGTGCAGTTAAATTCTAAATTTTATAATGATACAAGTGGCAACATGTGTAAGAGACGATTGTTTACGAGGGCACACACATGCCCAGTGTATGTGGGTGGTCACGTGATATGCATTTTCAGACTTGTTAGTTTAAAATACTTGTGTGGACAGAGATGGTTTTTATTGAGAAAATGCAACCTTCAAATGAAAACTTAGTAGTGTGAAGCAATGAATCCTGGGATAGGTTGGCCCGAGAAGGATCCACCCGTTGCAGCCTTGGTTTCTCGGGACGGAGGGACACATTTGTCAGAGCTATCGAAATGGGACAACCTATAGTTGCACTGCTGTGACACAGTCTTCAAATGTGGCCTCTGAAGGATGCAGCCCCAGAATTGAGCTACAGATTGAGAGCATATGGATTTTAAACAAGTAGCTGACTTGAACAGAAATATTTTCATTGACTTGGTTCTTAGAGGAGTCGACAGACCTACTTGATATAAACTTTCAGTCTTGGGGACCTTAACTTGCAGGCTTCATTAATCACACGCACAAATACACACACACATGCACACACACAAGCACGCGCCTAATTTGGTGTCCTAATTCATGTCAGCAGGCTTGTTGCTTTGACAGAGAGTGGCAGCATGCATGCAGGTCTTTGCAGCAACATGCGCCAAGGGCCATCTGTCCTGTAACAGAAAGAGCGGCGTAGATTATGGTGTCCAGAGAGAGAGAGAGAGAGAGAAAGAGAGGGCGGGAGAGAGGGAGTGAGAGAGAGAGAAAGAGAAAGAGAGAGAGAGCATTACGCACACGCTGATCCTTTTTTCCGCACAGAACCAGTGTGGCGCACAGACCAGGCGGCAGCCCTCAGAAAGTGGGAAGTTTTCGCCATTCTGTCTGAGAAATTAATCACCTTCATGTCGACTCTGTTGGATACTAACCCGCCGATGCTATGGTTACCTTTATTACGGTAGGAACTGCTTTACTGTTTCTTATTTGCTGCCTCGTTTAGCATTATTTGCTCCCTCGCTGTTCTTTTGGGCACTCTGGCACCAATTAATTAACGACCCTTGACTGTGATGCACTGACAAAAGTCACAGAGCTGTACTTGAAGTGCATCTTATTATAGGAAGGCAATACGTTTTGAGTTGCTGGAGTTGCAGCTTGCAGGAAAAGTTTTGGGAAAGTGAATTTACGCACCACAGTTGAGTATAAACAGGTTTTATGTGTAGTGGATTAAATATTCGATTTCCGTGTAACATGGGTGGTGGGTTCAAGAACGTATCTATTTCTCTCTGCTTGACTTTTGGCAAGTTTAACAAGAACGAGACGCGACGCGCCACAGAGAAGCTGAGAGGACATCCTCTTCCACCCGTCTGTGTGTGTGTGTGTGTGTGTGTGTGTGTGTGTGTGTGTGTGTGTGTGCACAGGTAGACACACAGAAGGGTTGGTCTTTCCACTGCTCGCTAATGTACACAGACATTACAGACTCCTGCTGTTTGCAGTTGCACTCGCTCCTCTTAGAGACGCGTGTGTGTATAACAGGGAGCGGAACTGGCTCGACGCGCACGGGAACCCAGCTCAGATGCGGTAGAGGCTCGTGTGTTTTGGATTTACCGACGCTCAGATTGAGCCTCGACTCGCTGTTAGAGGACATGTCAGAGTCGACTCCCAACTCAAAGGCAAACTTTATTTCCTCCTTACGCGCTCCTTGCAACGTGTGCACGTTTCTTTACGTTTATGCGTATAGACTATACAGTAAGCACGAGCTGGAGACTGCGAACTGCGTCTTTGCGCGCAGAGGTCCTCTTTAAAAGTCTTCTGCAGACTCATGGGGATCACTTTTTAGTGATGCATCTAAATAATGTTGTTGTAAAATGATTGATACCTGGTCTCCTACAATGTTTGTAAGATAGCGGGTGTCATCTAAATGTTGCATGTGCCTTTTCAGATTTAAAACTGTGAGAATTAGAGTTTCCAAATTTGCATAAGGAAACTCACCCACTCAAACACCAGACTTTGATTGGTGGGAGCTGGTGATGGGGATTGAGCCAAAGAGTCCATCAACCCCAAAACTACTCCTGCTCCGTCCTGTGCGCGTGTCCAGTGACAGTGTGATGAAATAACATGGATACATAACTCTGCATAATGGCCCTTTGCCGGAGCTGCGGTGCAGCTGGGTATGTCTGACATGACATGTGGCCTGGGCAGCTTTGCGTAATGGCGCGCATCAGTGGGCGTCTTGAGCCTTCGGTGGATGCATTCCCTGTGCTGCAGTCCGTGCGTGCATGTATGTGCAGAGGCCGCTGAAGCAGCTGTTGCAGCGGCGGATTTGACGCAGGGCTACTCCTGACATGCCGGCCCACAGCAGGACGCAGCGAAGGAGGCGAGGGGCCAGTTTGTTACTCTGCGTTATGCGCTTGAGTCAAAAATGGCCTCCCAGGCGGCCTGAGAGAGAAGCCCACTTCTACAGCTGAGTTGTTGCGTGCATGTTGGAGCTCTGGGTGCAGTGCAGCTGCAATGACTCAGTTTAACAAGGCTCATTTTGTGTTTTACTGCAGGAGAAAAGAGAAAAAGAAAGAGTAAGGGGTGTGAACAGATTAGGGGTGGGCTCATGGAAAGAACAAAAAGGAGATAAGGACGAAAAAGGCTTCGCTATGGCTCCTAGGTGGTTTAACAAACCACTAGTGTTAGTATGGAGCGTTCCTGTTGTTCCTTTTTTGGCCCTGCATTCCAGCCTTTTTGTGTTTTCGCCCTCCCCTCTGTCTGCTTTGGTCTACCTGGTTCGCTCCACTTTCTTTTCATCCGTGTTGCAGGATTTGTCCTGCAACACCTGATGGTAAAAATACATTAGACTCGTCTTAAAGCGTCAAGGCTCAGGGAGTAGTTTGAATCACATTTTGCCGGTTTAAATCCCTGGACAAACTGAGGCGTGTCATGAAAATACGACTGAGTAAATATTAAAGTCGTGGTGATCAGGGAGGGAAGCCAAAAAACAGTCAAAGATCAAGACTGAAGCTTGAAACTAAAATAATACCATTAAACCTGTGAAGAGGAAGTGTCTCATAAAACATCAGATTAACTTTCACTCTCTGTGGTAATTTATGGCTATAGTTCTCACTGTTGCACGATATTCCTCAGCAGCAGTGTTCTAAAGCTCACAGATGTAAACGCTTTGTGTAAGATTTAGGTGAAGGGAATCTATTGGCAGATTTCAAAAATCAAATTCATTGAAATTGTACGAATTGTTGTTTTCTTTACACTTGAATGGGCCCTTTATATGTAAATACTTAATATTAACATCTGGATTGGGTCCTCTCTACGGAGGCCCCCATGTTTTTTACAGTAGTCCAGACTGGACAAACTAAACACCTTTTGAGTTTTTATGACAAGGGGAGGGTGAGGTGAGGGGTATTCAGCTGCAACATGCAACTTCACCACTAGATGTCACTAAATTCTACACACTGAACCTTTAAGAGTAAATGTCAAGTGTGGATTACGCTTACTTAACTTCCTACTTACAGGTTTAAATAAAGAAAACTGTTGAAATAATGGGATTGAATTTCCCCCTTCATCCTGATAAACTGTATAGTTGGTCACTGATAAAGCTTTCACAGGATCAGAGCAGCAGCCAGAGGAACAAGGTGGATCGCTGGTGTTATCCCATCACGGATGTTAGAGGTGCTGTGGTGATACGTTCACTCAACACCCGATCTTTCACATGTCTTCACCTCTGCCCGTGCTATCGTTGCATGTCCTTCATTTTATAGTTGATGGCTTCCACACATTTCCACAAGTAGTTACTCAAGTGTGAAATATACATCCTGCTTCAATAAAAGCATGACGTTTCATGACAAAAATAAGGGTTTGACAGATGAATAGTCTGTATCTCAGTGAAACCTGCAGAATTACTCTGAACGTGTTTTGTCTGTCTTTTCAACTGTGAATGTGTCTCCCTTTCACTGGTGATCCCTGAAATCTGCTGGTTGGCAATTTATAATCAATATAGTTCAGAGAACCTTCAAACGTACAAGAGACATTCACCATCTTCGTATTTCAAAAATGATTTGCACTGAGCTTGATGGGGACTTGGACGTGTCAGAGTCTATCTTGACTGCACAAAGGGTGCAAGGAGGGAGGTCAGTATGGGGGCCTTATTGCAAAACTCAGCCCAGGCCTCCTAACTGGTTGATCTGGCCCTGCATGAATGTGGTCAGTTGTCAGGATTCAAAACCCAAACCCTAAAAGAATCATCAGGTCGAACAGCTACAGGCAAATATGTATGACGATAAAATAAAGTGATAGATGAGACTGAGTACAACTTGGACTGTGAGATTTCTGGATCACAGCTGTTCTATATAATCGGCCTTTGTCACAGCTGACTTTTTGATTTGTCATAGAAAAGCACTGATACAAATATTAACAGGACAATGTGCAAGTTTTTCACCTCAGTTGCGGATATTTTAACATAATTTCCAGAAAAAATGGTCAAAGAAATGCAAGGTAACATTTTTTTCCTACAGCAATTTGCCATAGACATTAATTAGAACAATACTCCTCAGATACATCTAAGATCAGCCCTCTGTCCCTAAAGGATTTCATTTTGCCGTTTGCATGCATCTTGCTATTTACTGCCCTCTTGTGGGGGCTGCTGACTGTCGTCTCTGGAAGCTAGTGTGACTGTAATAATTAATTAACATGTTCGTGGGCATGGCCAAGTCTCTCAACAAAGGCTTGGGCTTGTCAAGTGTTGGGGCAGGCAGCATTTCTCACACTTTTGTGCATTGTGGGTAGTCCTGCAATCTGTAGTGAGTGAGCAGTTGTAGCTTGCTATAGACAAATGCTTGTGCTTGTAGTAGTGCTTGTCAAGTTTTACTTGACTCAGCTTCTACTGTTCTGAGATCAGTTATGATATCGCAGCAAATTATTTTTACAAATGTGCAGTTGTGAGTGGAATCTGGACTTGTAAATTTAGAAATGACTTCAACAGTCTTTTCTTCATAAGCGTTAAGAGGTTACAATTGCAGAATGTGATTCATCATCTCAATGTGCATGAGTTGTCTGACAGATCTACTTGGTCAACATGTGACGTCTTTCCTGCCCATTAATGAAGATTCAGGATTCTCTGTTCTGCAGTAGCTTTGGTTCATTTCAGACATCAGAAGATTACAGGATTCCCCATCGTCACTGAAGTGTGTGACTGTCACTTAGTTTGACGGCGGCCATAAAAGAGATTTTGAAAGGTTTTCCCCTCCGTGCTGCACATTTGAAATATTCACTGAAGGAATAATTCTCATCCTTCCTCAGCCAGGAAGGAGTGCAGAGACGTGGAGATGTCCAGGCAGAGTGTGGCAAAGACACAGCAGAGAGTCTTTAAACACGGGAAAAAAATGAAGCACAAAATCACAATATATCTACAAAGGTTCAAACAAGGTGACAATAACGTCTACATCACTGATCCAAACGTATCGAGAAACAGGTATGTAGCTGCCATTGTGTTGCTTCTGTCGCATGCTTTACACAATGTTACACAAAGCAACAGTGGGCATGCGAGAAGTAATCGTTTTTCCATTACACATGGATACACAGAAACCCGATTCTTTCAAAATCGACACTTTGCAACGTCTATAAAAATCTACATGGGAGAAAGGAATAGACATAAATATCTTGCGTTCAGCACCATGTCAGCTTCAGATGCACCAACAGTAACTCCAGTCCCTCTACACGTCCAGCCCACCACTCTACACCTCTAAAAGCACTTGATGTCACTCAGATTGTTTCTGCCTTTCAAACCGTTAGAGGGTTTTTGTGATTTAAGTCAAGTGGCTCAAGTACTTTCTTAATAGATCTGAGTCAAAACGTGGTGTTTTTCAGACTTTCAGGGTCAAGCATCTGAAAAGATTTTGCTCTCCAGACGAGTGAAGCTGGGGAAATGGATGAGATGGAAAAGACGTTAGCATGTGTTTAGAA